TAATTGAACCGTGTCTAAAATTCTGTGTCTATTTGCAACGTGTCTAATTGCAACGTGTCCAATTGAACGGTGTCTAAGTGCACCGCTCCCCTAAATTTAAGGTAGTGTTCGACGCATCAAGCAAAACTTCCAGTAGCGTTTCTCTAAATGACGTCTTAAAAGTGGGGCCAGTATTGCAACAAGATTTATTTTTAATATTGCTTAGGTTCAGAAGCTTCAAGTACATGATGACAGCTGATATAGCCAAGATGTACAGACAGATACTTCATTCACCAACTTCCTTCCCTCCGCATTGATCTTCTTATCCTTAGACTTTTTCCTTACCCCTTCCCCTTTTTCCTCTTCCTCCACCGCTTCTCCTCCTTCTTCACCCGTTCTAGCATTAAAATCCCCTCCTAATATCACTTTCACACCTTCCTCTTTTCTTTCCATAAACCTCCTCAGCTTCTCCCACATTCTCTCCCTTTCCTCGCTGATATACACTCCTACCACCTTCCACCATCCATTCCCTATTTTTATGTTTTTCACCAATATCCCTTCCTTTTCTTTCCAGTTTTTCTCCTCTCTCGACTCTAACTCCTTTTTCACCCCCATCATCATACCCCCTTTTGCTCTCCCTTTTTTATTCTTTTTCTTTGCCCATTGTACTTTCCAAGAAAACTCTTCTGGCAACTTCTTTCTCATCCTTTCCCATCCTTTCTCATTCACCCACGTTTCCATTAAAATTATTATATCCCACTCTTTTAATCCCTCCCAAAAATCTTTATCCTTATTACTGAATCCCGCCACATTCCAAAACGCTATTTTCTTTTTCTTTTTTTCCCCTATTCTTCTTCTATCCACCTTTTCTCCTTCTTCTACTCCTTTCTCCATATCCCCTCCTTCCCTCACCCTTTTTCTTCTTATTTTTTCTTCTCTCCACCCACCGCCTCCCTCCGTTCCCCCGACTGATTCTCTACCCCTTTCTGCCCACTCCACTCCAACTTATTCATTTTTTCTATTTCTCCTTTCTCTTCCACCCATCTCCACCAATCACCTTCTATTCTTATTCTATCTCCCTCCACTCACACCTTCTTTCCTTTACTCCTTTCCTCTACTGCTATTCTCCCCAGTTTTCTTCTTATTTCTCTCTCTTTCCTTCGTCCAATCCTCATCAATCCATATCTTTTTTCTTTTTAGGCACTTTTTTCTTCTCCAGATTTTCTTCTTATCCTCCTCCTTCCTTAACTTTATCCATACCATATCTCCTTTCCCCCCTGTCCCTATATTCAACCTTTTCATTTCCGCGTCTTGTATCTCCACTCCTATTTCTTTCCAAATTTTTTCTACTCCCCACCTCCAATCACCCTTTTCCTTTTGTACCCCCTTGATCACCAAATTCTTTCTTCTCCTCTCCTCCCTCTCTCTCTACTCTAAATTCCTCTCAATCTGTTGCACTCTTCCTTCCAACACCTCCTCCTTCTCGCCATTCTCCCCACTCCCCTTCTCACCTCTCATTCCCGTTTCTTTCTTCTGTCTATTCTTTAATTTTTCTTCTAATTTTTTTACTTTCTCCATCGAATCCTCCTTTTCTCCTTGTATCTTCTCCTCTCTTCTTTTCCATTCCACTATTTCACTTTCCATCAATTCCATCTTTCTCGCAAACTTTTCCAACTCTTTCTTCATATTTCTTAATTCCTCCCACATAAACCCACCCTCTCCCCTCTCCCCCTCGCCCTCTACTTTTTCCCTCTCCTCTCCCCCCTGCTCCACCTTGTCTCTTATTTCCCGTGGTAATCTCTGCACCTTCTTGCTACTTCTAAAACTTCTCTCTTTTTTCTCTTCTCCTTTTTCACTACATTCCTCTCCCGATTCCCTCTTTTTTTTCAACCATTTCTCCATTACTAATCCTTCACTTACCGTTCTTTCCCTTTTACCTCCTTCCATTTCTTTCCACATTTCCCCCTTACCTTTCTTCTTACCTATACCTTCCGCCATTTTTATCTCCTCCAAACTCCCTAGAAATCCCTTCAACCCGAACGCACCTTACTACACTTTCTATACTTTCTACACCTTTCACTCTCCACACTACAATCGCTTCTTTCGCTCTCATACACGCTTCCTCCAAATCCTAACCTCACTCCCTCTCTTACTTCTACCTTTCGCTCTCTCTACTCTCTTTCTCTCACCCTTCACCTCACCTTCACGCGCACCGCACCCCTCACCGCCAACACTCAACCACTCCACACACTTAACCGACTCTCAAACACCACACAATCCACCTTTTCTATGACTCTATATATCACACTGACTTGCTATAATCACCACCGGAAACGGAAGTCCTACAGACAGATACTTATAGAAGATAATCAAACGGCGTTGCAATGTATTGTTTGAAGAGATAAGCCTACAAAAGATATAAGAACTTACAAATTATTAATCTTAACTTATGGAACAGCTCCAGCGTCGTTTGTAGCAACAAAGGTAATTTATCAGCTCCTTAAGCTAGAAGAGAAGCAGTTTCCTAAGAGTGCCGCAGTGGCGCGTAGAGACTTCTACATGGACGATCTTATCACGAGAGCAAGTTCATTAGAAGAAGCCCTAATTTGTAATCAAGTGTCAGTCCTACTTTCAAAAGGAGGATTCGTGCTCAGAAAATGGGCTTCCAATAATGTAGAGTTATTGAAAGGTGTATTGGAGCAGATAACAGACAACGCTATTCTAGAATTGGACAAGGATGACGCTGCTAAAACTTTAAGTGTCAAGTAGAATTATGCAAAGGATGTCTTCCAATATTCTATTAAAATAACACACCTTACTATCTCTTATACAAAAAGATTGATGTTATCAAGCACAGCACAGATATTTGGGCGTGTTCCGTTTGACCACAGTACGATTCGACACCGATCGATTCGACACCAAATTATTGGACACAGATTTATTCGACACCGTACGATTC